TAGTCTGTCTCAGTCTATAAGCTGGGCTGTTACCTGTGCACCAGGTGCATCTCTCTGGGTTTTAAACACCAGAGGCTCTGTAGTAGTAACAAAACTCAAGCTGTGATTTTCTAAATCTGTACTATCCAATATAGTAGCTGCTAGCTACATGTGGCTATTTAAGTTTAATTAAAACTGAAAATTGAAATTTAGCATTGAATAAGGGTAATGGTTGCATGACACAATTAATGCGAGTTGTATACCTGAAAAATGTTGTACTGGCAAATGTATTATATATATTTTTACAATAAAAAAAAATTAATCTTGTTAATCAGTCATCACCACATTTTAAGTTCCCCATAATCACAAGTGGAGATTGTGGCTCTCAGAGTGAACAGTGCAGCTATGAGAACATTCCCATTGTTGCATAAAAAGTCCCATTGGATAGCAGTGCTCTAAATGAGGAGTACATTATGAAGTATTAATGTAAGCTATTTGATCCAATTTGCTTATTGTTTTAATACTTTTCTCCTATGTGAGATATGATGCACATGTCTAGACACATGAATGTGACTATTACAGCAAGTTGTATATAATTCTAAAATTGGTTGTAATAGTAAATTATTCTGTAAAGACCTTGCAAATTACAGACTGGAAACAATACCTATCCTCTCAGAAGAAATAATATTAAAAATAAAATCCTTTCAAAGGAAACCAGAATGAACCTTCATCTTCCTCTGTTGTTGTTGGGTGCCACTGAGTCAATGCCAATTCATAATGACCTTTCTATTAACAGCCAAGCACTTAACTGTTGCAACACTAGGGCTTCTTTCATCTTCCTTTACCACACACTAAAGCTTAAGAAATACAGAAGCTCTAGACAGAACCTAGCTGAAGCAAGTGCACTCACTTCGTCTAACAAAGGAGTGGAAGATCCTAGAAATGAGTCCGTGTAGACATTGGCTTTGTGAACACTGATTTCACACACACACAAATCTCTCTTAAGGAAGCTTACTGTTGATTAGAAACCTACAGTAAATCATCATTTAAAGGGAAGAATTATTTCACAATGTGACTAATGAACTTACTTATAATTTAGGCTTCCTACAGATTTCTACAGTTGGTGAAACTGGACAAAGGGATGTGAGAATTCTTTGTACGACTCCTACAACTTTTCTATAAGTTAGAGTTTATATCAAAATAAAAAGTTACCCAAAAATCAGATTTTTCTTTATAGGATATTTTCAGCGTCTGCAGTATCCTGGGTAAATAAAATAGCTTAATCAGCTGGGTTAAGTGGCTCTTCCCTTTGTTTTAATCACTCATGAGCAGGAAATAGAAGTCCAAGTAAAGAGGGAAAATTTTTTTTTAAGTAGGAAAGAAGTAGAAAAACTAACAAGCCAGATGCAAGATTGCAGAGCCCAAGCATAGGAGGACATGGACCAGGGTCCACTAAGATATTCTAAACCAGAAAGAAAAGACAAGGTAGGAGAAGAAAACTCAGCTAGTATGCTGTCAAAGGGGAAAACAAGACTGGGTCCTAAGTCCAGAATGGGAAAGAGTGGGCCAATAGAGTTCCTGAGAGTCAGAGGAAGTTGGGTCCCTACAGACAGTAGCTAGACCTGGGACTGGAAGGAAGACAGAGAATTTATCTGTTTAAACACAAATGAAGGAGCCCTGATGGTGTAGGGTTAAGGGCTTGGCTGCTAACCAAAAGGTTGTTAAGAGAGAAAGAGAGGCAATCTGCTTCTGTGAAGAGTACAGCCTTGGAAACCCTACCGGGCTATTCTCCTCTGCTGTATAGGTTCACTATGAGAAGGAATTGACTTAATGGCAATGGGTAGAAGTGCAAATGATGAAGCCATTTTATTTGACTTTTTCCTCTTCCTGAACCTCCACCCTCTACTTCTGGCACTACATTGGAGAACATATTGGAGACCAACAACCTATGTCTACAAAGTACTATAAATCCATCTGTTTCAATGCTCTTCTATTAATGAAAGTGACCTCTAGACATCAACACAAAATAATTTTCCATGCACAAACACTGTTAGCAGGATTGAGGGTAAATAGGGTATTCATTACTATATTCTCTATACTTTCTTGTACACTTGAAATATTTCTCAAAAAGTCAAAGACAAAAACCAAAAGGAAAGATCTTGTTCACTGATTTGACTAAAAACCTAGTCAAACTTTTTCTCATACTTTTCTGTCAATGAACCAGTGTAGAAAATAAGAAAGGTTGTGAAACAGCTAGACTGACATTTTGACTGAGTTGACTGATATTTTTGTATTGAGTAGATACAGACGTGGCAGGTACAAAATACAATCCCAGGCAGAGTTGGCTTCTTTCCACTCTTAATATTTTCCTGACTCACATTTTCCATTAATAGTAAAAGCTCTTCTTTGTTTTCATCTAAGAACTGCTTAAGACAGGAAAAAGAAAAGACCAATTGATACATTCAAGACTTTTTTCCCAAACACATTTCTATAATTTTGACTATAGAAAATAACATGCATTATTTTCTACAGGTTATGATTGTGTAATTTGGGGTTCTTTTTTTAAATTACTCTTCTGGGCTGAATTTATGGGCGCTTTTCCCATTGACTTGTGATTTCAAACAACTATTCTGATTGTTGTTGTTGCTAGGTGCTACAAAGTTGGTTTCAATTCATAGTGACTTTGTGTGCAACAGAATGACACACTGCCCAGTCCTGCATCATCCTCAGAATCTTTGCCATGTTTGAACCCATCATCGTAGCCACTGTCAATCCATCTCATAGATGGGCTTGCCTTTTTTTTCTGACCCTCTATTTTACCTAGCATGATATCTTTCTCCAGCGACCTTACAAATAGCAGTGGAACATTGTCTGATATATTACCAGAAGATGAGCCTCTCTGTCGTTCTGTTTAGTGGAATAGTAATATGAATAATATGATGATGAATAATATTCATCTCAGCTTTGTGCCCTTATTACGTAGGCTGCAAATATGAAGTCGTATCAGTATTATATTATATATATTTTCTTTCCTCTGACACAGTTATAGTTTAAATGAAATGAAAAGAGAGCCTGGGAAATAGCCTCATCTTTCAATTAATTTGTAATCTATCTTTTTGCTTATACTGCAAATCAGAAACGATTATTGGGCAGAATGACAAAATCAGCCTACAGTTTTCCCATTAAGGCCCTGTCTTTGTTGTAGTGCTTGGAGCAGCAGCAGCTGGCATGGACGGATCAAAGGAGGAATGCAAGGCTTCCAAAACTTCATGGTTTCAGACAGTAACATGAGTTTTGTTGAATTTGTTGAGCTGTTTAAATCATTCAGGTATAACATGCTTTCCCCTTATTCTTTCTCAGCCCCACATTGTTGTAACAATGCTAAATGCAAGGTGTTTTCTATTCCTTGCTCAGTGTAAGAAGCCGAAAAGACCTGAAGGATCTCTTTGATGTCTACGCAGTACCCTGCAACCGACTAGGCTCTGAGTCTGCCCCACTCTATACCAACCTGACAATTGACGAAAACACCAGTGGTCTTCAGCCTGACCTAGGTTTGTTTAACATTCTAAGATTTCCCTTTGAGACCTTCCGACATAAAAATGAAGTTCAGGTAGGTGCACTCCTTAGGACAATCAACCATGGGAGATCAAAAGGGCAATATTTGCCCTGGGAGCTCAGAGGGCAGGAATGCATAGGAAAGAAGGACACAGGGAAAAGGTACACACAGGGAAGAAGTGGGAAGAGAGCTGTTATGTTATGGGTATTGCAATCAATATCATGAAACAAAATGTGTCTGAGCTGCTGTATGGAAAATGAAGTTGCTCTGAAGTTGCTCTATAAACTTTCACCCAAATCACAATAAAAAAAAAAAAAAATGAAATTCAAAGGCGTCCCTGAGCAGCACAAACAGTTAAGTTCTCAACTCCCAACTGGAAGGTTGGCCATTTGAACCCACCCAGATGCCTGTTGGAAGAAAGGCCTGGTGATCTGCTTCTAAAAGGTCACAGCCTTGAAAACCCTATGGAGCAATTCTCAGCACATAGGTCTCCATGAGTTGAAATCAACTCCATAACTAACAACAACCTCAATTAATGAAACAACTTCTTGCATACCAGCTGCCATAAAATTCAGCTAACAAGGGAATTAAACTAAAAATGAAGTTCAGAGCTCCAACCATACAACCCTCAACCACATGGCATGCTGTGACATGGAACATGGTGAAACACTAAGAAAATTATTTCAGGGTGTCATGGAGGTGAGATGCTATTGATATTTTGGGCAAAGAATTTCATCGTTGGATAGGCCTGTCCGTTTATTCCAACATATTTAGCCAAAAATGCCCTTCAGTCATTATGACAGTGAAAGTCCTTCCCAGCCCACTTGCACATGTCCACTAGATGGGTGGTATATCCTAGCTGAGAACCACCACGGTCTTGTCCCTGCCTACAAGCAGATGGGTGGATGCTCAGTCCCAGAGAGGTGCAAATGGGTACTCAATCCAGGAAATAATTCTCTGTCTTTCTGACAATGAGATTATTTAATGACCTCTGCGGAGTACTCCCACCTGAAAATCCAGAACATGTTTTCTAATGTGTAAACTACATAGTCTAGTTCTTTTCTTACACACCTTCACCACCACCATTACCATCATCACTCATACTATTTTTTTTAACCATCCATGCATTTTTATGTCTGTTATTTTTCCCTTTTGTCTTGCTGAAAATTGTAAAACAAAAACTGTCTTCTTATATGCAGTAGCTTCCTAAGTATTAAAAAGTTTATGTTGTCCATAAGCTAAGATAGTAACCATTACTAAACCGTAACCATAACTTATGCATGATTATGAATTAGTCAAGTGAATATACTTTTAAAGTACAAAAAACGGTAATTTGAAAAGTACATCTTCAATCTTTACAAACATAAAAATATCATTCCTGTTGTTATGTGCCGTTGAGTCGGACCCGACTCATAGCGACCCCTCCTTGGGTTTCTGAGGCAATATCACTACAGAAGTAGATTACCCAATCTTCCTTCCAAGGAGTGGCTGGTGGGTTTGAACTGCCAGCCTTCTGGTTAGCAGTCAAGTGCCTTAGGCACTATGCTACCAGAGCTCCCACCTAAAAATACAGAAGTTATTCTCAAAAACTGAAGTCCACATTCAGCCTCAAGTCTCCAGTTGAATCTACATTTAGTTCCCATCTAATTTGAAGCCCAGATGATTTCAAGATCATGGACCTAGTTCTATCTTAAAAACCAAAACCAAACCCACTACCATCAAGTGGATTCTGTTGGGTTTCCAAGGTTGTAAATCTTTATGGTTGTAGACTGCCTTATCTTCCTCTTGTGAATAAGCTGGTGAGTTTGAACCACCAACCTTCTGGTTAGAGCCAAATGCCTTAGCCACTCTGCCACTAGAGCTCCTTAAGTTCTATCTTGACTTCTTTTATTTATTCACTGATTCATTATTTATCCCTTTAACTATGTGAAGCTATAAATAAGTACTGAGTGTGAAGCTTGTTTAGTCAGATTAATAAAGAGTTTCTCCAGTTTAGTAAGTCCCCAACACTATGATCTCCAAAGTGAACTTGTGAATGATAATGCCTATCTTATCTATGTTCTCTGGATGGTTCTGTTTCAGATTTGTTGACCAGAAATGTTTCAGATTTGGGGTTATTCATTAAAAGTAAACAGCAACTCTCAGACAACCAGCGGCAGATATCTGATGCCATCGCGGCTGCCAGTATTGTGACAAATGGCACTGGCATTGAGAGCACATCCCTGGGCATATTTGGAGTTGGCATACTCCAGCTGAATGACTTCCTAGTGAATTGCCAAGGAGAACACTGCACTTATGACGAAATCCTCAGCATCATTCAGGTTTGTACACATTTTGTGTGTGCATGTGTATGTAATGCCTCTTTCTGTTCCAGTAATTTCCTACTAGACATTTATACTCTGACCATATTTCCTTCCAGAGCCATCAAGCCTGGGACAGAAATACAGTTGTTTTTTTTGTTTATCTGTTTGTTTTAAATATCAAATAAATAAGAGTTCTTACTTAATATATAATTACTGTAAATCCTAGGGCTTCTCTGACTTATTATGTTATTGTTGTTGTTGTTATGTGCCATAGAGTCAGACTCGACTCATAGTGACCCCTCCTTGGGTTTCCGAGGCAGTATCATTACGGAAGTGATTGCCCACCTGACTTATTATAGCAACTATAATAAAGAATCAGTACATCATTCCTTGATATTGTTCCAGCACAAGCAACAAAATTAGTCTGGATTTTCAGCTTCTTATGTCAACTGATTGGCAATTAGTGGATGAGCTGTCCAGCACTTGGATTTGATCATCAAGAATGCTAAAAATATGAAGTTATCATCATATTAGCCACTCTTTATTATAGTATTATAGAGTACAGGCACCTTGTGAATAGCAGTGAAACACTGTCTGATGTAATACTGGAAAGCTTTATGAATAGCTCTGAAACTTCATCTGATATAGTGCTGGAAGATGAATCCCTTAGGTTGGAAGGGACTTAAAATATGACTGGGCAAGAGCTGCCTCCTCAAAGTAGAGTCAACTTTAATGGCATGGATAGAGTAAAGCTTTCAGGACCTCCATTTGCTGATGTGCCATGACTCAAAATAGGAAGAAATAGCTGCAAACATCCATTAATAATTGGAACATGGACTGTACAAAGTATGAATCTAGAAAATTAGAAGTTATTAAAAATGAAATGGAACACATAAAGATCAATATCCTAGGCATTAGTGAGCTGAAATGGACTGGTTTTGGCCGTTTTGAATCAGACAATCATATGCTCTACTATGCCGGGAATGACAAATTGAAGAGGAATGATGTGGCATTTATCATCACAAAGAGTGTTTCAAGATCTATTTTGAAGTACAATGCTGTCAATGATAGATAATATCCATACAACTACAAGGAAGACCAGTTAATACTAATATTATTCAAATTTACACAGCAACCACCAAAGCTGAAGAAGAGGAAATTGAAGATTTTTACCAACTTCTACAGTCTGAAATTGACCAAATATGGACTCAAGATATATTTATTATTACTGGTGATTGGAATGCAAAAGTTGTAAACAAAGGTGGATCACCAGTAGTTGGAAAATATGGCCTTGGTGATAGAAATGACATTGGAAATCACATGATAGAATTTTGCAAGACCAATGACTCATTCATTGAAAATACCTTTTTTTCAACAATATAAACAGTGGCTATACATGTGGACTTCAGCAGATGGAATACACAGGAATCAGATCCACTACATCTGTGGAAAGAGACAATGTTGTTGTTGTTATGTGCCATCGAGTCGGACCCGACTCATAGCGACCCCTCCTTGGGTTTCCGAGGCAGTATCACTACAAAAATAGATTGCCCCACCTTCCTTCCGAGGAGTGGCTAGTGGGCTTGAACCGCCAGCCTTCTGGTTAGCAGTCAATTGAGAAGCTCAATATCTACAGCCAAAATAAGGTCAGGAGCTGACTGTGGAAAAGACCATCAATTGCTGATATGCAAATTCAAATTGAAGCTGAAGACAATTAAAAGAAGTCTGTGAGAGCCAAAATATGACCTTAATTATATCCCTTCTGAATTTAGAGACCATCCAAAGAATAGATTTGAAGCATTGAACACCAATGACCAAAAACAAGAATTGTGGGATAACATCAAGAACATCATCCATGAGGAAAGCAAAAGGTCATTAAAAAGACAGAAAAGGAAGAAAGGACCAAAATGGATGTCAGAAGGGACTCTGAAACTTGCTCTTGAATGGAGAGTAGCTAAAGCAAATGGAAGAAATGACAAGAAAAAAGACTGAAGAAGATTTCAAAGAGCAGCTCAAGAAGACAAAGTCAGTTATTATAATGAAATGTTCAAAGACCTGGAATTAGAAAACCAAAAAGGAAGAACACACTTGGCATTTCTCAAACTGAAAGAACTGAAGAAAAAATTCAAGGCCCGAGTTGCAATATTGAAAGATTTGATGGGCAAAATATTGAATGATTCAGGAAACATCAAAAGAAGATGGAAGGAATACACAGAGTCACGTACCAAAAGAATTGGTCAATGTTTATCCATTTCAGGAGGTGTCGTATGATCGAGAACCAATGGTATGGAAGGAAGAAGTCAAAGCTGCACTGAAGAAATTGGTAAAAACAAGCCTCCAGGAATTGATGGGATATCCATTGAGATGTTTCAATAAACAAATGCTGCACTGGAGGTACTTACTCGTTTATGGCAAGAGATTTGGAAGACAGCTACCTTGCCAACTGACTGGAAGAGATCCATATTTATACCCATTCCAAAGAAAGGTGATCCCACAGAATGTGGAAATCATTGAAGAATATCATTAATATCACATGCAAGTAAAATTTTGCTGAAGATAATCCAAAAATGGTTGTGGCAATATATTGACAGAGAACCAGACATGCAAGCTGGATTCAGAAGAGAACATGGAGCGAGGGATATCATTTCTGATGTCAGATGGATCTTGGCTCAAAGCAAAGAATACCAGAAAGGTGTTTACTTGTATTTTATTGCCTATGAAAAGTCATCCAATTGTATGGCTCATAACAAATTATGGATAACATTGAGAAGAATGGGAATTCCAGAACATTTAATTGTGCCCATGAGGAACCTGTACATAGACCAGGAGGCTGTTGTTCAAACAAAACAAAGGGATACTGCATGTTTAAAATCAGGAAGGGAGTGCATCAGGGTTATATGTTTTCACCATACTTATTCAATCTGTATGCTGAGCAAATAATCTAAGAAGCTGGACTGTATGAAGAAGAACACAGCACCAGGATTGCAGGAGGAGTCGTTAACAACCTGTGATATGCAGATAATATGACCTTGCTTGCTGAAAGTGAAGATGACTTGAAGCACTTACTGATGAATATTGAAGACTACAGTCTGCAGTATGGATTACACCTTACATAAAGAAAATGAAAATCCTCACAACTGGACCAATAAGCAGCATCACGATAAATGGAGAAAAGATTGAAGTTGTCAAAGATTTTATATTACTTGGTTCCATAGTCAACAGCAATGGAAGCAGCAGTCATGAAATGAGACGACATACCGCATTGAGAAAAACCTGCTGCAAAAGACCTGTTTCAAGTGCTGAAGAGCAAAGATGTTTCTGAAAACTGAGGTGCACCTAACTCAAGCCATGGTTTTTCAATCACCTCATATGCTTGTAAAAACTGGACAATGAGTAAGCAAGACCGAAGAAGAGTTGATGCTTTTGAGTTGTGGCATTGGCAAAGAATACTGAAAGTACCAGGGACTGCCAGAAGACCTAACAAATCTGTCCTGGAAGAAGTACAACCAGAATGCTCCTTGGAAGCGAGAATGGCCAGACTTCTTCTCACCTACTTTGGTCATGTTGTCAGAAGGGACCATTCCCCGGAGAAGGATGTCATGCTCAGTAAAGTGGAGGGTCAGTGAAAAAGGGGAAGGCCCTCAACAAGATGGATTGACACAGTGGCTGCAACGATGGGCTCAGGTAATAGCAAGGATTGGGAGGCTGTTTCAGGACTGGACAGTGTTTTGTTCTGTTGTACATGGGATCACTCTGGGTCAGAGCCAACTCAGTGGCACCCAACAACAACAACAGGCACTATTCCCAGTGCTCTGCATGAATTACCTCCTTTCACCTCTCACCAACATTGGTAGTTGCAATTATTATCCCCATTTTCTGCTGGGTAAACTGATAGTTTGTTTTCATATAAATCAGCCTTTGTCTTTTTGCTGCACTTCTTTCTTTTTTTTTTCTGTTACATAAATACGGTTAGTATAATAAACTCACATATAATAAATGTGTTTTTTTCATTAAAAACTACAATTTATGACTACATGGCTAAATTAGTTCAAATATTTGGTTTAGATGTTTCCTGATAAAAACAGAATGGTTTAAAAAATGATGTGGTAGTTTTTTTCCCCCCCTCTTAGTTTCCTTTACTTGAACAACTCTTTTTTTTTCTTTTGTATCTTTTGCAGAAGTTTGAGCCTAGCGTTAGTATGTGTCACCAAGGCCTAATGTCATTTGAGGGATTTGCAAGGTAATTTTTGAAATATATCTTTTACCCATCATTGAAGAGGATACATTTTTCCCATGCAGTCTTAAGAAAATTTGTTTCATCTAGGTTCCTGATGGATAAAGATAATTTTGCCTCAAAAAATGATGAGTCCCAGGAGAACATTCGAGATTTGCAGCTACCCCTCTCCTACTACTACATTGAATCTTCACACAATACCTACCTCACAGGCCATCAGCTCAAAGGAGAATCCTCAGTAGAACTCTACAGCCAGGTACTGAGAATTCCACTTGGAAGATTGTTTTCATTAGACCTTATTATTTTCATAACCCATGGCCACAAAAACCAGACCCCAGATTCCTTTGAAGAGCTTGCAGAGTAAACTATTATATTTGAAATGTGAGGAAATATAATGTGTGGGAAAACTGCCTATGCATACAGTTGTTTTCTCTTTTTCCCCATCTATACTTAACCTTTATTCTAGGCATACACACACACACACACACATATACCCACACAAAAGTGTTTGTTTGAGAATCATAGCTTTTAGATCCTAGTCTGACCTACCCCTACTAAAGTTAGATTTTCCCATGGGAAAATTATCTAATCGTTTCATAAATGCTAAATAAATCAATATATTGTAGTGGGAAAAAACAGTAGAAAATGTAACTTTCTATGGAGTTATTCCCAAAGATATTGTTTGTTTTACCTTGCAATTTGTTAGACAATCAATCCATCCCTGTGGTAACAACTTAGAAGAAAATCTGCCTAGACTATAGGCATGTTATTACCCCTGGGAATGCTTGTTAAAACTCAGTAGGCTCTCTGGACTGGAAAGAGTGCATCCCTTTGACCTACACATCCAGCTTTCAGTTGCATTTAGTTGCCTCTCTGTGTCCATTGCTTGCAGCTTCTTCATCTGTGCTTCCTACAAGAAGGGTTAAGCAGGAATGTGCTAGGCTAGGCCAATGAAGTGTGTGTGTGAGTGTGTGTGTTTGTGTGTGTGTCAACCTGCATTTGAGAATTATAATCATATTTTTTATACAAACCCAGCAGCAATGGTTTGTTTTCCAGATTAGTCCAGATATTCCTTAAAGCACAGGGCAAATTTCTATACCAAAGCTCTCAACCTAAAACTCACTGCCATTAAGTGGCATACAACTCATAGCGACCCCTCCTTGGGTTTCTGAGGCGGTATCACTACAGAAGTAGATTGCCCAGAATATATATTTTAGACCCTATATTCTAAAGTACTTTCATTTTTAAATGACAATGTGTCCTTAGAGCAGTGGTTTCAAAATAGGAGTTTGGCAAGAGGCCTCAGCTGCTAACATTGAGGTGAACAAGCAACGGGGTAGGAAGAGGCCCATACTCTGCCCCACTGCAGCCCAAGGACTACTCTTTTATGTGTTTTAAATATTGGCCTTCCATTTGCAGAGAATTCCAAGGTTAAAAGAGTTTGAGATCTATTTTTCTAGGGGAAAGAAATGGAATTATATTTATATATATATATATACATATATAAGCATAGATGGAGCTCTGGTGGCGTAGTGCCTAAGGCATTTGACTGCTAACCAGAAGGCAGGTGGTTCAAACCCACCAGCCACTCCGTGGAAGGAAGATTGGGCAATCTCCCAAGGAGGGGTCACTATCTGTCAGAATCAACTTGATGGTAGTGAGTTTGGGTTTTTTTTGTTTGTTTTGGTTTTTTTAGTTTTAAACATACAAACACATATATTTGAATGTATTCTGTGCATACATATATGTGCACATATCTGTATATTTACATATATGTGTATTTCTTACAGGAAGATAAGCCAAGACCAATGTCTTAGCTTTAATTCCTAACCTCACTTCCCTATTTGACTTCTAAGAGTCTTTTTTAAACCTCAACATTATACCCCAAGTAGAAATTGCAACAGTTGAAAAGAAGCACAAGAATTTACAAATAGACCCATAGATATGATTAAAGCTAGCATGAAGATCCATTTGACTTCATTTCTGACCACTGTCTCTTGGCTCCCCTAATTATCCCCTACAAGTCCTCTGTGTGTAGGAGCTCTGGTGGTATAGTGGATAAAGCACTTGACTGCTAACCAGAAGATTGGTGATTCAAACCCACCAGCCACTGTATAGAAGGAAGATGGGGTAATCTACTTTTGTAAAGATTTACAGCTTTGGAAGCCCAGTGGGGGTCACTATGAGTCAGAAACGACTCACCAGCAGTGAGTTTGGTTTGGGGTTTACTTCTCTATTTAGAAGGAGTCCTGGTGCACAATGATTAAGAATTCCACTGCTAACTGAAAGGTTGGCAATTAAAACCTACCAGTGGTTCTGCAGAGGGGACAAAGACGTGGCAATCTGCTTTCATAAAGATCACAGCCTAGGAAATCCTATGGGGCAGTTCTACTCTGTCCTGAAGGGTCGCTATGGATCAAAATCAACTCAATGGCATAAACCAGCAACTCCTCTATCGGACAGATGGGAGGTGAAAATAAGCCCTACTCCTCTCATCTACAGATTACAACCCTGACTTTCCTTCTCTAATCATATATGGAGATCTTGGGGTCATGTAGACTTTGGCAAAGACCTTTAGACCTTCACACTGAGAAACATCCAGTGTGTCGCCAGTTGGGGAATTCTTCCCAGTTGGGCAGCCTCACCACAGAGATGAAACAGCCTCATGTTCTGGCTCCTGTATCTCACAGCAGCTTTCAGCCGAGGCAATACCACTAGATACTCCAGCTGCTGAAAGAGGCTAGTAGCCTTGGTATTCTCAGCCACAGGCTATGCTGTGCAATGTGAAGAATCTAGCAAGTATGTGAAACAAAAATATTAAAATAAGAGGCATTCGCCAGCTGAATTTTGTTGGAGCAACTCTAATGGCTACTAGCCTCTAGTATTAGATCTCTAGCACACAGAAATAGTCATGATAATTCATGATTCAGTGGTTCAGCCCATTGATTCACAGATATATTTGCCTTTTGGTTTGAGTTACTCTTCCATTATGTGGTAGTGTTTAAAGTAGTCAACTGTTAGAGTCATATGGAGGAAGAGGGTGCTCCAAGTAGACATGACAGAGCTCCAGCCCAAGCATGTGTGTCAGGAACTCTGCCTCCAACTCTAGAATGAGGTTATCAAATTGGTATCATCTCATCTGATTTATTGGTAGTATTTCCTGCAACACTGTACAGAAGAGGTGAGGAGATAACATATCAAAGCTTAGGGAGCAAGTAAACTGTGTTTGAATTATTGATGTCTACCAATGGGTATAGGAGCTCTGGTGGTGCTGTGGTTAAAGTATTGGGCTGCTAACCAAAAGGTCAGCAGTTCAAATCCACCAGCTTCTCCATGGGATAAAGTGAAGCAGTCTGGTTCTGTAAAGATTTACAGCCTCGGAAACCCTTTGGGGGTTGCTATGAGTCAATGGAAGAGCTCTGGTAGCAAATGCCTAAGGCACTTGAGTGCTAACCAGAAGGTTGGCAGTTCAAACCCCCCAGCCGCTCCTCAGAAGGAAGGTTGGGCAATCTACTTCTGTAGTGATACTGCCTCGGCAACCCAAGGAGGGGTCACTATGAATCGGATCCGACTCGATGGCACATAACAACATGAGTCAATGGCAGTGGGTTTTATTTTGTTTTTACCATGGATATGGAAAGGGAACTTTATAGATTGTTTCCCATCTCTACTCTAGTTGCTATTCTGAGATTAGACACAAGGCAAATCCTTGATGACTCCTTGCTTCTATGCTTCTTACATGCTATATCTCCATAGCAAGGTTTTAGGTGATAGCACAGTTTTGGTCTAAATGGAGGAAATGTTATTCTGATTGGCTTAATATCAGTGTTTTATCAGTTTATTAAGGAATCAGTAGCCTCATATCCTCCGGGCTGTGACATGAGCACCTTTACCTCCACTAACATTCACAAAGATAGAGCACCACTGCCCTTATCTGGCTCTAATTTCAAATGTGCCATGTGTGGTTCCCCTGAGGGCTCAAAGTTGCTGGGAAAATGGTCATACATTTTTTTGCTCTCAAATGTTACCTTCCAATAACATTCAGCATTGGTAAACACTCTTTCAACCTTAATCTGTTCTCTCCCATCCTTGTGATGTTGTTATGTGCTGTCGAGTCAGCCCCAACGCATAGCGACCCCTCCTTGGGTTGCCAAGGCAGTATCACTACGGAAGTAGATTGCCCAACCTTCCTTCAGAGGAGTGGCTGGTGGGTTTGAACCACCGGCCTTCCCATCCTTACCTCAGATTAATCCTGGCCTTTGCCAAGTGCAATACTTATTTTAAATCTTGTGCTCTTTTGCTTCGATTCTGAATGTGAACACTGATATGCAAGAGAGAGTTCTGGCTTTAGTCTCAGGCTCTCTGGGGTGGACTCATTCATTGATCATACAGGTTCTCCTGCAAGGCTGTAGGAGTGTGGAGTTGGACTGCTGGGATGGAGATGATGGAATGCCAATCATTTATCATGGACATACACTGACAACCAAGATCCCCTTCAAGGTAAGGCTTCATAACTTTATTTAAACCAAATCACAAAGAGGCTTGTCTTCATTCATCATTTAAATTTGTCTCTACCAAATTATACCTTGGGAGCTCTGGTGGCATAGTGCCTACAGCATTTAACTGCTAACCAGAAGGCTGGCAGTTCAAACCCACCAGCCACTCCTCAGAAGAAAGGTTGGGCAATCTACTTCCGTAGAGATACTGCCTCAGAAATCCAAGGAGGGGTCACCATGAGTTGGAGTCGACTCAACGGCAGTGAAACCAAATTATACCTTAAGTCAAGTGTTCTTATCCTGGTTCTGGAAACTTCCTGAAAGTGTTAGCAATATTGTGTGAGATGTATATGTGTTCATTTTTCTGAGGGTTGTTCTAGTACTTTCATTAGATTCTCATTTGACCAAAATTTAGCACCTGTTACCTTAAATTAGTCATCAAGTAATCATGTTGTTGCAGTTTTTACATCATGAGATGATGTATAGAAGTCAGGAGCTCTTGTGATAGGAATTAAAGGCCAAGTGTCCTCCTGACAAAGGCCAGCACCAGTGTTAAGATGTGAAGAAATATTTAACTTTATAGACTAATGAGAATTAGTTCCACTAGTCACCAAGATTTCTCTATCACTTATTCAATCTGTATTCTGAAAAAATAATCCAAGAAGCTGGACTATATGAAGAAGAATGTAGCATCAGGATTGGAGGAAGATACATAAACAACCTGTGATATGCAAATAACACAACCTTGCTTGCTTGCTGACTAGAAGCACTTACTAATGAAAATCAAAGACTACAGCCTTCAGTATGGATAACACCTCCACATAAAGAAAATGAAGATCCTCACAAGTGGACCAATAAGCAGCATCATGATAAATGGAGAAAAGATTGAAGTTGCCTGGGATCTCATTTCACTTGGATTTACAATCCACACCCATGAAAATGGCAGTCAAGAAAGCAGGCAATGTATTGCATTGGTCAAATCTGCTGCCAAAGACCTCCCTAAAAGTGTTAAAGAAGGAACTTTGGTGGCATGGTGCCTAAGGCATTTGATTGCTAGGCAGAAGATAGTTCAAACCCACCAGCCACTCCATGGAAGGAAGACTGGAAATTTTCTACTTCCATAAAGATTTCCCACCTCAGAAACCCAAAGGGGGTCGCTGTGAGTTGGAATTGACCCAACGGCAGTAAGTTTGGTTTGGAAAGTGTTAAAGAGCCAGGATTTCACTTTGAAGACTAAGGTGCTCCTAACCCAAGCCATGGAATTTTCTATGGCCTCATATGCATGTCAAAGCTGGACAATGAATAAGGAAGACAGAAGAAGAGTTGGTGTCTTTGAATTGTGGTGTTGACAAAGAATATTGAAAATACCATGGACTGCCAGAAGAACAAACAAATCTGTCTTGGAAGAAGTAAAGCCAGAATGCTCCTAAGAAGTAAGAATGGCCAGACTTCATTCATCTCACATACTTCTGTCATGTTGTCAGAAGGGACCAGTCCCTGGAGAAGAATATCATGCTTGGTAAAGCAGAGATTCAAGGAAAAAGCCAAAGACCCTTGTCTTAGTCCTCTAGTCCTGCTATAACAGAAATACCACAGGTGGATGGATTAACAAACAGGGATTTATATTCTTAGAATTCAGGTCCGAATTCAGAGTGCTGGCTCTAGGGGCTGAGTGAAGGCCCCTCGAACTTGGCCTTCAGCTCTGCCTCTTGTTCCAGGCCCACTAAAGCTAGAGGCGTATCCTAACTCACACAGCTGCTGGATACTGAGGCTGTCTGTAAAAGGCTGTCTGTAAAAAGGTAAAATGGCACAATCCCAAGATCGGTAGGCAACACCGCAGGCCACTACTGGTTCAAGTCCAGGAACTGGAGATGAAGACTCAGCCAAATTCAGGATCCAGATGTATCAAAAAGCTAGAAACCTTCTTCAAACATTTTCCTTGTATACTGGATGCTGGCCACACCCTAAAGGCAACTACTTAGCTGTTCGCAGCAGATTCCACCATAGAAGTGATTACAGTCTCATAATGGGGAATAACTACATCCAGCTGTGAAGCCACTCCACACCATGGCCCATCCTTAACTGCCACAACACTCAATAAGATGGATTGACATAGAGCCTGCAACAATGGCTCAAGCAAAGCAAAGATTGTGAGGCTGCTGCAGAACTGGGCAGTGCTGGGTTCTGTTGTGCATAGAATCGCTATGAGTTGGAACCAACTGACAACACCTAACAACAGTCTCCAGGATCTTGGTCTCTTTTTTTTTGATAGCCTATTCGTTCAGTTGGGCAATTACTCTCCCCATTCAGAGGGTCAAGGGCTGTGTAATATCTTTTTTTTTCTTAAGCATGGCTGAACTGGGAAAGAATATTATTTCTATTTTATATGGTGGCTAAAATACATATTCTCTTTAATTCCTTTTCCTATTCTTAAAACTCCTGCACTCTTAATTATATCGGGAGGAGGTGAAGTTGCTAACTCTATGTTTACATACCCAAATAATGTATGTAACATATGTCTTAGTGTCCCAAACTATTATAAAGTCCTTGAAAGTAGGACAGTATCTTATGCCTTGTATTTGATGCTGTACTCAAAACAATGTCTTTTAGCTAGAACATACTCGACATATATATTGATGTTATGTTAAATTCACCATACTAATAGCTGTTCATTGTAATATGTGAACAAAACTCAATACAATTTAATGTCTTTTCTAAAAATGTGCTTAATTTGTAAATGCAGCTCAGTGCTTTCATACATTTCGTACATTTAAAAAATAAAAGCCACCTTTAGCCAGAATCTGCTGCACACCATCTAGATGCTTTCTGCAACTCTAAGTACCAGGCCTTCTGACCACCCTAGATGGATGTCTGGGCTCTAATGAGTTGTTTTGGCTCTCACAGGAAGTGGTTGAAGCCATCGATCGCAACGCCTTCATCAACTCTGACCTGCCCGTCATCATATCGATCGAGAACCACTGTTCTTTGCCTCAACAACGAAAAATGGCAGAAATTTTCAAGGTGAGCTCTAGGCTAGGAGGCAGGATGGTATCTTGGACCTTGTCTTGTGACTGTTGTGGAGTTTTACAGGGGGTCACCTTGGACTGTATACCACAGTTGGACCTTGGCCAGGAAGCACATCCTGTTCTGGGTCCTCAGACTTGAGGACTGGAAGATTAGGCTTTTTCTTGAGTGGTCCTCTCCTCAGCTGGAGTGAGATAAGCATGTGGTCCTCAGATCCTTTCCAGGAAGGAAAGGCTTTTTCCAGAAAGCCTTAGAAGGTAGGATCAACCAGCTCTCCAAGAAGAGTTTAACACCTCCGACACACAATTCAGGAATATGGAAAGCTGAAGAATCGCAGGGAAAATAAGGGAAATCCTTTTGTGGCCCACACTACAGATGTCCAGATATGTGGATTCAAATTGGCAAGGAGTTTTAGGGTGACCAGAAAATTGCTATGTTAACAGTCAGCTCTTTCTTACACTAAAAAAAAAAAAAAAAAAATCACTGCTGTCGAGTCAGATCCAACTCACAGCGACCCCTCCTTGGGTTTCCGAGGCAGTATCACTATGGAAGTAGATTGCCCAATCTGCCTTCTGAAGACTGGCTGGTGGGTTTGAACCACTAGCCTTCTGGTTAGTAATCAGATGCCTTAGACACTGTGCCACCAGGGGAACTATGATGCAGAGATTTAGGGTCTAATATTCCATTATACAAGGAGCTCTGGTGGCACAGTGGTTAAGGTTAACTGCTAATCAAAAAAAAAAAGTGGTTAAGTGGTTAACTGCTAATCAAAAGGTCAGTGGTTCAAACCCACCAGCTACTCCATGGGAGAAAAATGAGGCAGTTTGCTTCCATAAAGATATACAGCCTTGGAAAGACAGTTCTACTTTGTCCTATAGGGTTGCTGTGAGTCAAAATCAACTCAATGGAGTGGGTTTGGTTTGGGGTTTTTGGTTATTCCATCATACCTTCCCTTCCTCTAGCAGTAGAGGCATTTGTAGGAACTTGTCCTTCAGTAGGAAGAAGAGAGGGGCATTGAAAAAGGAAAACATCCCCAAATACTAATGCCAGCAAAACTAATTAGCCTTTCTTTGTTTTTATTTAGAATAATGGTCTCTAAACTTTCCTGATTATATACCTCTATCAGTAAAATATTTCAACATGTATTCCTATTGTGCATTTGTTCATTTATTTGTAAGTATACATATGTCCTACTCACTGGTATATTTTATGCATTACTTAAAGTACACAAGAAATAGAAAGTAAAAAAGAGTGACATAGCAAAGATGAAATGAAGAATATTTTTTAAATACTGTAATTCATTAATTTAAGATTTTTTGCTCTCATTAAAAGTAATAAACATAAAAGGGACAAAGATGAAAAAACAAAAAATAAAATAAGTAAATTTATTGTTTATTTTTATCTAAACTGTTCGTGGGAGTAATGTGGTTGAATATGTTGCTTTGTTTTTAAAATTATTCATTTAAACTTTGTGATCAGTAATTTGGCTGGCTGGTTTGAAGATTAGTATATGATTTCAGTATTTGGTTTTAGTAGTTGCAGTAGCTGAAAAAGATACCTTACAAAGACACATGGATCCAGATGGAAAGGGATGTCACCTTGCCAAATCATGATTCTCATTTCTCGATTCCATCCCTTGAAGATGCAAAGGTTTTTGTTCAAATTTGTCTAGAAAATGTGTTTCCTGATGTCAATCAGTTTTCCTTAGAAACTTATTGAAAAGTGTTGCCCTTCACATTTTTGACAAATAAGTTCAAATCCCACTATAGCCCTTCATTTGGAAGATATTTTAACTGTTAGAAAATCTGCTTCCAAGTTTCTGGAGTATCTATGCATGAGAGATTCCTACAACAGAATCCCATAACAATAGGAATATTCCCAGACATCCGTTTTAAAAATACTTGTCTCACAGCATGTTGGTGTTGTTACGTGCCATCGAGTCAAACCCGACTCATAGCGACCCCTCCTTGAGTTTCCGAGGCAGTATCACTACAGAAGTAGATTGCCCCATCTTCCTTCCGAGGAGTGGCTGGTGGGTTTGAACCGCCAGCCTTCTGGTTAGCAGTCAAGTGCCTTAGCCACTACACTACCAGAGCTCCCAATGTTGTCTAAACAGCAATTACTTTCTCACTCACTGTTAAAACATCGCCTTTAACATATAGAAACTGATTAAATATTATTTTCCTACTTATATTATTATTTTTTTTTATTATCTGGTAACAACAAATTATTGCTTCCCACTTATCAACACAAAAAAAGTCAGACATTCAAACATTTTAGGACTTCTTTCTTTCTTTTTTTTTTTAAAGAAAAATACATAACTTAGAAATACTCTTTGAAGGAAACTATAGGGAGGAAGTGGGAGGGGAGCTGTTGCATTGTGATAAATTGTGGTCAAAGTGTGTGTGAACTGCTGTACGGAAAGTGAATTTGCTCTGTAAATTTTCACCCAAATCACAATTTTAAAAAAAAAAATACTTTTAACTACTTTGTCATGGTATAAAGTGTGAACTTCTATGTGGCATAAAATATTTTAGAGAAAAATTTTTTATCTGTCATTAATCACAGTGGATGCCACTCCAACTGCAATTGTCACAATAAGCTAATAGCAAACAAAGACGGTGACGCACCCACTGTCAGTTCTTCTGAGTCTTGAGACTCCTCCTTATCCCTAAGGGAACATCCTGAACAGCACATGACACGTGTCTGATGTACATACTGAGTGAGGGTGCCATTTTGAATTTGTATATTAAATATTAATCAGCTTCAATTTGGGTTTCTTTTTTTTCAATTAAAAACCAAGTAGAAAAAGAAATTACTGTAATTTCTTCCTTATACCAATGGATTTTCCTGTGTGCACCCCCTCACCACCCCATAGTGGGCTACACATTTCCCTTTGAAGATGAATACTCAGAAAATCTTTGAGAGAATGGTATTCTAGTTTTTTTATACTAACTGACTCTCTGTTTTCTTCATTAGTGTATCAGACCCCAGACCATTTTCCTAAATATAAAGTAAGAACTGGCCCCAGCTGGAAGAGTGGCCCAGACTTCTCCTCCTATCCTTCTAACCACTCCCTTTCTTTCTGTCAAAATCTATGGAAAGGAAAAAACAACTCCTTTCCTAGTTCCTCTTCCGAGGATGTTTAAAACAATTCAACTGGGTGGATATATCTACATATTTGAATAAATCAAGTATAGGGGGAAATCATTGATTATATGTTCTTCCTGTATTCTTTTTAGACTGTGTTTGGAGAAAAGCTGGTGGCAAAATTCCTGTTTGAGAGTGATTTCTCCGATGAGCCGATGCTTCCCTCACCTGACCAACTAAGGAGGAAAGTGCTCCTCAAAAACAAGAAGCTAAAAGCCCACCAGACACCAGTGGATATTTTAAAGCAAAAGGTACTCTTCTCTTACTAAAGGGAGCTTTGGTGGTGCAGTGGTTAAATACTTAGGCTGCTAACCAAAAGGTCAGCAGTTCAAACCCCCCAGCCATTCTATGGGAGAAAGTCAAGGCAGTCTGCTTCCATAAAGTTTTACAGCCTTGGAAACCCTATGGGTCAGTTCTACTCTGTCCTAAAGGGTCACTATGAGTCAGAATTGACTCAATGGCAGTGAGTTTGGTTTTGGTCCTTGTTAAAGAGGTTATGAATAAGCTATGTACCCAAAACAGAGAAATTAATTTCCTGCTAACCTTTCAGATGACTTGTGGGCTAACTGGTTTCTGAAGCTTGAGTTTCCTTGAATAATATGTTTGATTTTTGACTTTCCATTTCAGAGACCAATAAATACTTTCATCCCACTCCTCTCAAATTTTATTTTGTGGGGTTCATTTCCCACAGAGAATGTATCTCCATTATTTAATTCATTCTGAGTGGGATAATGTGTGACCTTTGTCTCTGGATCTGGGCTTTGGGGCTGTTGGTCCCACAGTGGTTGCTATAATCCCCTTTAGGTAGAGCTCCAAGGAGCCCTGCTAGTGCAATGGTTACGCTCTCAGCTGCTGACTAAAAGGTTGGTGGGTTCAAAACCCCTCTGCGACTCCACAAGTGAAAGACCTGGCCATCTGCCCTGTAAAGATCACAGTCTAGAAAGCCCTATGAGACAGACAGTTCTACTCTGTCACATGGGGTCACTAAGAACCAAAAATTAACTCCATGCCACACAACAACAGAAAGAGCCCCTTTAGGGAGAGCATTTGGGCATGGTGCAGTGCCCCTTGATGTCTGGAGTACAGACCTAGTAGCAGCAGCCCTGTGATCCTAGCATTGAACTGAGCAGTGTGCCCTGCAGTATGTGGTCCCCAAGGCACCCCACACCCACCTCACCCACGGATTTCTGCACTACAAGCACCACAAACCTCCCAGTACAGGAGGACCCTCAGCCCAAGTTTCCATGGAAAATTTCAGGTCCACAACCAAATAATCTATATGCCAAATTGAATCTACTTACCCCATAGGATGATAGCTTCTAAAACTATTTGTCCTGTAGGAGGGTACTGTTAGTCCTACCAAGTCACTTTTGGAAATTACTGTAAACAAGAGTGAGGATCCCTAGGCACTGTGCAAGGGTAGAACAACGCAGCTCAAAGAGCAGGACCAGCTCAGAGCTAAAACTAGGTCACCGCCTATGGCTTTTCATTTCTCTTTGTGTCATGACCTCCAGGCCTCCTGTTCTGCTTTAGTAATTAAGTGGAGAATTCAGCAGAAAGATTCTATATACTCAAGAAATTTGAAAGCTTTGTCCTGAGTCATTTATTAAAGATGTCAATTTAAATGTCCACTTTGACCCAGTTAAGTAGTCAATTGGGAACAGTGTCAAATCTTCTAGAAGCTCTATTTTGTAGTAATCACAGGCAGGTCCTGCATTTAATGACATGCAGCATGATGTTGGAGAAAGAGCATTAGATGGGGAGCTAAGACATCAGGTTCTAGCCACTGGCTTTCACAAACCAGCCCTATGACCATTGGCCAATGAATCTTGCTGGGCCACCATTTCTTCATTTGTGAAATGGGAATATTAAGATAACTGGTCTCTAAGGACTCTTATGACACTACAATCTCACAAAATCTCCCCAAGTTGAATTGTAGGACCCCTGTCACAATTACAGACCACTCTATAAACATTTTATTATCCCACTTCTCAGTCTCCATTTCTGTTTCTTACCATTCTAGAACATTATGGTTTCTCTAAGGGGCCTTTGGAACATCCTGTCATGTGGTGTTCCAGTAAGTACCAGGCAGTTCTCAGACTGTCCTATTCACCTGCAGTGGCCCACAGTTCAGGTTTATTTAGGGGCTTGTGTGGAGTTCCTGGGTGCTGCAAACAGTTAATGCACTCAGCTACTAACCCAAAGATTGGAGGTTCTGGCCCACCAAGGCTTGGCAATCTACTTTTGAAAAATCAGCCATTGAAAACCCTATGGAGTACAGTTCTACTCTGACAGCATGGGGTTACCCTAAGTTAGTGTCACCTCAACAGCAAGTGGTTACATTGCCCACTGGCCTTGGTGATTCAGAGAAAACGTCATTGTTTCAGCTACTTCCTCCATGGTATCTTCTTTATCCAGTAATTACTGTCCACTCCTCACTGTCCAGCAGTTATAACTGTCCTATTCACTATTAATTGTGCGTAACTCCATACCTTATAAACATTCAGCATGTATTTGAACGTTCTTGTAGCTGTTGCCTTTCTCATTCTTAACACAGTCATTTTCAGTGACTGGTGATTACTTATAAGGTCTCCATGTCACTATTAAATAGATCATATTGTTACAAAAGGAGCTCTAGTAGCATAGTGCCTAAGACATTTGACTACTAACCAGAAGGCTGGTGGTTCAAACCCACCAGCCACTCCTTGGAAGGAAGGTTGGGCAATCTACTTCCATAGTGATACTGCCTTGGAAACCCAAAGAGGGGTTGCCATGAGTCGGGTCTGATTAGATGGCTAGATGGCAGTGAATTTGCTTTTGTTTTTTCTTTCTTTCTTTCTTTCTTTTTTTTGGTTTATTATTATAGAAGTCTTCTTTATTTTGAGCCCAAATCTTCCTTCTTGTTACTCTACTCATTGGCCCTACTTCTTGCCTCTGCAGCTGCACAAACTACTTTCATATCTAAGCTATCATGTGGCTCCCACCAACTTTTCTCATCTCCAGGTTAAACATTCTTGTTTTGTCAGTTGTTTTCCACAGAATATGCCTGCTAAGAGTCTTCACTTTTCATTAAGAATATTCTAGATATTCTTAAATTTGTGGATATGGATTTTCTTGAGTTTATCAGTCTCGAAATGTGATCTCCAAAATTAAGCTCAGTGCTCCAGATATAGTCTGACAGCATAAGGATAGTGAAACCATAACCTCCTTTAATTTGAACTTTATACCTTGATTAATGCAACCCAAGACTAGTCTTCCTTTTTAAAGTCTTCATTGTACACTGGAATCACGTTCAGTTTGTGGATGACAAAAAGAGTTCAGTTGTTTTCACATGATTGTTTTTTATTCCTGATCTCTCCATCTGGGCATGTTTACAATTCATTTTAACCTTCAATGTGCAAAAGCCTCATGTTTCTCTCTGTTAAATTTGCTCTCCTTGGTTTGGGGATATCACTGCAGCCTACAAGATTCATTGTGAACTTTGTTTCTGTCATCCAATGTATCTATTAGCAGTTTACTGGACTGTTTCTTATCTTCATTTCAAGTTCCCCTGATCCAGATAGCCAAGTGGAGAACCCTGGGATCCTTCTTAAATAACCTCCCTCCAGTTTAGGTGAATCACTCCAGCCCTGTGCTCTCTCTCTCTTGAAGCCCATATTCCTCCAGAGTCAGTTCAACATCTTAATTTACAGGACAGGAAAAGGAAGCCTGGCCATTTATGTGACTTGTGAAAGCCACTCAGCTCATAGTGGCAGAGCTAGGATTTGGATTAGGATTCAGGAAAGACTTTTTCAAAGGCAGAACAGAAGACAGAATTCACTAATAAGTATCACCAGGGCACTTTTAAAAACACTGAGTCTTAGGTCCCAAACCGGACCTGCTAAATCAGAATTTCCGGAAGGCTTGTTTATTTAAAAAATAATTCTTATCATCCTGGAAGTTCAAGAAACACTACTTACCTACTATTTCTCCACCACCACCACCACCAATGAATTTACCCTATCCAAAAAGGCTAATGAGATTAGTGTATGGGAGACTTGCTAACTCTTGACTTCTTTCTATTCTGTGTTCTCACAAAACAATGCATTAACATTCTGAAATTTTGTCACGCATCCACTTGACACTCTCCACAGTAAAACACCCACAATTTACCTTTTCCTCATTTGGGGAAAATGGGATGATATAATCCCATTTCCAGCTTCCTAATACCCCCCATGATTTGCACAGGGAGTACCAGCAATGATTCCATAATCCTCTTTGCAAGGCCTTTCATGTACCTGGCAGGCTGTAGGTCTAGACCTAGCATTCCGACTCACCCAAGGCTGAGTGAATGCCTAGAGGTCCAGTTGGCTCAGACCCATCTCCTAACTTAGAAGGCCTGGGTCATTTCCTTACAAAGGACTCACCCTCAGCAAGGATGGACTGACTCTTTTTTTTTTTTTTTTTTTTTAATTTTAATTGTGATTTGAGTGAAAGTTACAGAACAAAGCTAATATGGTCTAAGCCAACAAGATAGATAGATGCCAGCTTTTACCTCATCTTTTTTTTTTTTTTTTTTTTAATTTTAATTGTGATTTGAGTGAAAGTTACAGAACAAATTCATGTTCCGTACAGCAGTTCATGCACATTCCGAAGGATGGACTGATTCAATTTTTGAAGCCTTCTTTCTTATACTGAGGCACCTATCTGTACCCCATTAGAATTCTTCAGCATTCTGACCACAATCACCTGAACCCCAACCTGAAAGACTCAAACAGTTCATACTTTATGACAGGCACTAAGCCAGAGGTTAGGGAACAGAGATGCGTAAGGCATAACTCCTACCAGGGCACATCTGAACCACTCTTCTCATCTGATGCCCTGATCTGTATTTGAATTGCTTTTATTCAAAGACTGAGTCCTATTTTTTCTGCCTCAGAATAAATAAAATATAGGCAAACGTTTTCTAGTCATCTTCAGAGAATAAGTGTGTCAGTCTTTAACTGCCTGTCTCATGCTTGCCTGCACTTGGGGGAACATTTGAGCGTCTAAAGGGCCTTGACAGTTTCTTTCTGACGTGGCTACTCCATGTTCTCTGAGTGGTATTGTTCCTATTGCATAGTTCCCACACTTTCTTGCCAGAGGGTCAGCATCTACCAGGCACTTTGCATCATCTTTCCCAGCACTTGACTCAACCTCGAATGCTTACCCAGTCAAGGCCCTTTTCTTACCCATAACAAATAGACTTGTTTGTGTGGCTCACTTGTGCCTAGACAAGATTTACCAAAGTTCTGAGGAATGCAAATTCTACGAGACACTCTGAGAAAAGAAAAAGAAAAAATTCCCTGGCTAAATAAGTCTGGGAAATTCTGCCATGGAGATCTTTGAAGTATCATAATGCCCTCAAGCATATTAAATGAAGGCCATGTCAAACCCTGTAGTAGGAGTGTTGCTGTTTCCATATTTCATTGTGTTTTGCTGTTATTGTAATTGTCTTACATCACAGCTAACCCCACCTCCCTGTGGAACGGATATTCCTAAAATACCACTTTGAGACATCCCAACCTAGACAGTAGATACCTGGAATGGACTGAATTGTAAAACATTTTATGTAGAGATAGACACAGACTACATTGTATCTTTCTTATGTGTATATTTTTATTATAAAGTTAATATAACCACATTTCAGAACTTAGGGAATAGAGAAATATTTTTAAACATGAATAATCCCAAGGCCAAACATAACCTGAATTACAGAGGTTCTTAGCCTCAGGTCCCTAGACAAAATCCAGAAGTCCATGGAAAAAATTTCATCTTTGTTTTCACTAACCTTGAGCTGAAATTTAGCATTTCCTCCAGTTATAAATGTAGACAATAAACCACAGTCGTGTTGTCAGTACCTTCATTAATAGAAATCACAGATTTTTCATATCATAAGATAGTTGTTACTTATAACTATTTCCAAAAATAATTTATGCTCATAACTTTCAAGAAAGACACTAGACCCACCATAAATATTTTTTACTAGTGAAGAAACACAGATACTCCTATGTCACTAATTTTCTTTTTTAATATTTGTAACTAAATTCAACATTATTTGTTTCCTTTGTAATATATATTTTATTTTATGCATTTAAAACATCATCCTGAGAAGGTATCCTACCTTACCAAACTGCCAGAGGGGTCCAGAACCTAAAAAAGGCCAAGAACCCTACTCTAATATTACCTTAATATCTAGTCTTTTTAAGCATGTTATTATAGATAGATATGTA